CACATGTGTTCCACCAGAATGACGTGGATAGGAAAGGAAGTCTTCAAAGGAGAGCACATGTATTCCACCAGAAGGGCTGGGACAGAAAAGGAAGTGAACATGTATTTTACCAATATATTCCAACTTACAAGAAATGTTTATGTAATTCAATTGTTTGATGGAAAAGATGGTGTGGAGGCGTGGGCCAAAGAACAACTTTTCTGCAGCACACCAGTATTGGACCACAAATGCTCAAGGACAAACTCCGAGAACAAAAAAAGAAAAAAGCAGCTAAATACACCAAGGAAGCTTCTTCAGAAAAATCCCTGGGAAACATGGCGAACAAAAGAAACCGAACACATGTTTGGAAAGAAAAAAATAGTTCAGAAACAAGCAAAGGACATTTCACAACGAAATCTCAGAAAATATCCCGGGAAACTGACTACAGAACAAAGATATAAAGTTCAAAGTAAGTGTTTAATTTTGATTTTATGAAGCAGTTGACCTTTTACTGAACAGGGGTAAATATGTAGCCGCTGGTTTAGGTAGGTTTTGTCTGTGATGGTTAATTTTCCTAGGTAGAAGCTCATTGGCTAATGACAGTTTCTCATTTCTTTATTTTGTCAAGGGGCTGGTTAGAATAGCAAAAGGTTCTGTCAAACTCAACTGAATCAGTTTGTGGAATTGTTGTTTATACAATGATGCCCATATTTAAGTTTACTCATATAAATATTTTTGATACTATGTATATATTTCATTTACACCGAATTCAAACCATTTAGAATAATTTTCGTAAAAGGAAATGAATAAGATTTTGTATGATTTTTTTCTTTCTGTTACAACATTATATATTTAAACCATATGTCAACGTTGCTATATTTAAAAGCTCTATTTTAATATTTACGTCATTTTCTGTCAACTGTTGAGTCTACATAATCTTCAATATAACTTCTTTCAGTGTATGTTTTTTAGTCTTACGTACAATGTAAAGGAGGCAATCGCATCTTAGTTAATCCTTTATTGATACAAAATTAATTATTAATCAAGAGCTTTGTTATTCTCATTTCAAGATATGTTTAACACTTAGGAGACGTTGTAGGACAAATCATTGGGCGGCCCTGGCAAGATTATAAGAGGAGACCGGGTGGTAAACCTTCTTTACCCAATTTGTCACGTGTTCTAAAACCCAGAAATGAGCAGGCTAAGCAGGATGCTCAACACAGACCTCAGCAGCCTACACAACCTGAGGTTCAACAGACTTCTCAACTTCAACAGGGTGGACATGCTGATCAACTCTTACCTGAACAGTCTGAGCAGGATTCCGAATCCATAGACCAACATACAACCCATTTTGGTGCTGTTCATCATGACATGTCACAGACTGAACAGGCTGCTGGGGAACGTGAAGCATACAGTGCTGATTGTAAGTAATCACATTGCAGAAGTTGTTCCTGTGTGTACTCATGATCGCTGGTTCTTTTTATACGAAAACAGTAAAGGGCAGCATGTTAAAATGTGCTAGCTGTCTATCAAATCATAACCTTGTAGAACTTGTCCCACAATTTTCAACTAGCACTGTATCATTTGAGATCCGATGAGTATTACATGAAGATTTCCATATCATGAGCTGGCAATTAATGCAGTATTAAAATTTTCTGTAGTCTGGCCTTTTGTTATTCCTCTGGCCCGTTTGAACCTTAAAAAGTACTAAATATGGATGAAGAGAGGTAATCCCCATACAGTGATTTTGTTTGCTCAGTTTTACTGCTGAATACAGGCCATTTCCCCTAGCTAAAAAGTGTCTTGTTTTCCAAAAATTACCTAGAACTGAGGAATATATTCCCAATTTCCACACAAATAATGCTGTATTTTCCCAATTCATAAAAGAACAGTCTGTTATAAAGTTAAGGTAACAAAAACACTGCCATAATGCAATTTATAAACCAGTTAACAAGGAACAAATAGAAAAAAAAGACAATTTGTCATATTCCAGGCCATTCAAGAAAAGCATTTTCCAATTTCATCACATCCAGGAAATAACTCAACTTTCCTACATAATAGAATACAAATTACCGGTAAAAAAAAAAAAAGGTAACATTTGAATATTTTGAAAAGGGTTTCACATATATATTATATTTTACATAATATCAATTGGTTCCAAAAAAAAATTAAAAAAAAAAAAAAA